TGAAATGGATTTCGCTCTTTCTTCTGACATGTTGTCGCACGTCAAATCCCAATGCTACAGTATCTCCACTGTGGTGGCTGCCAATTCAACATTAAATGTGCGCAGCACATTTAAGAAATAGAATGTTCCTGCAGAAGCTTTGTTGACTCGTCGTCAGAGCCTTTTTTGCTATAGTGCTTGGCTTCCGGAAGCAAATCATATTCAAAAAACCGCCTTTGCACAAAGATTGAACTCTTTCTTCTGAGATTGCCGCAATGAAGATGATGGAAAGAAGAGCTAAGAGGTTAATGCTGCAAGCGTGCCCACGGCAGATGCCCAAAATAAGACCTTCCAGAAACTGTTTGAAGTCGTCGGAGAAAGCATCGCTGCAGTCTCAAAGATGTTGCAGAAAGGTGTTTCGCGATGTGACGCACGACGGGTCTTGAACAGTTCCAACATCTTCCAACAGGTTCGCGCTTTGTGCGCAGCGTTTGTGAACAACGATTCCAAGCGCTTCGCACTCAATACCGTCGGCCACCCAAGGTTTTGCGTCATTTCGCTCCCTTTACCGAAGAGCCATGCTTGCAACCACTGCAACGACATCCATGCAAGTATCGTTTATGCCAGCGGGGCGTTGAAGTAGACGGAAAAGGACATTGAGTGATTGGGATCTCTTTCCGAAACTATAGCTTTGCGATTGTTTAACCATAAGGCACGCAAGTGTAGCAAGAAGCGTAAGCGTTGAAGCGAGACAATCTTTCCCGCTGTTGGTCAGTATAGAACATCAGACAGCTCATTTCAAGGACTTGTAACCACAAATCTTGTTCAGGAGCAATGGTTGTATTTGCATGTATGCCTTTTGCCATGCAAAGGGTGTGTGAACAAGCGGTGTTGCTACCCGCCAGCAATCGTTATTTTGAACACCGATGAAATGTTTGCCCTGATGTCTCAGTAAAAAAAAACGTAGGCCAAAAAGGAGTGGCCATCGCTCATCAGAGTCACTGTTTGAAGTGAGACACCAGAAAGCATACACAAACAGTGGTTGACTTGCACAAGTTGTGTTTTTTCATCGTTTGTGTTCACTTGGACCATTTCAGGGGGATGTTAGCGCCCAAACATGCAGAGAGTTCATGGGAACATATGGGAATTCCGTTCAGCTCGGTTTCCACAAGTGTTGGTCTACTCGCGTATTTATCTCGGCGCTGTGGATCGCAGATGGCGGGCGGTGGAAAAGCGCCAAGAAGCAGTCATTGTGCCCCAGAAGAAGGAGTTTCACCTCTATTGGACCTCAATTGGGTGCCCTTCAACATACATACTGTAGCTTCTTGCCACCCAAGATGCTTGGTTGCCCGAAAATCTTGTTGTTCCTAACCTCAGCTTAGAGCTTTGCATGCTGGAAGCAAACATGAAGGTCGCATCTTGCAGTTGGTGGTTTACGAAGACGTGTTGTTTCTCATTCGTTTGGTCAGACAGAATGCAGTCGACCAAACCTCAAGAGTTTGCAGAACCAGTTGCTCAAGAGGTGCACGAATTGTTGGCTGGTTGGCCAAACCTCTCGGCCTAGCAAGTAGGCGAGCATGGTGAGTGATCACATAGAGGTCATGGTCGCCATGGCCTACTCCTCAAACCCAAATCAACTTGGGACCTCTGACCCATAGCTCACCCACTAAGAAAATCACGGGGGATTCAAGATGGTTTTGCATGTTCTAGGTCTATTAAAGGGAACAAAACACGTATATAAAGCAGCAGTCCTTGGTAACTGCCTCATTCACTCACACCCAAAACATGATTTCATCACGACCGGTCTTGCCGGTCTCCACTCGCGCCTTTGGGCGCTCACTCCACCGCGCGTCCTCCCCTGGCGCACGCTGCGCCGTCCGCGGAGCGCTGAGCGCGTCCGTCCTGGCTGTCGGGATCTTCATGGCACGTCCAGCGCTGGCCGTGCCGAAGGAACCCGCTGGCCCAGCGGCGCTGGCCGTTGGGGATCCAAGTGATTTCGATGATTTGGGTGCTGGTACAAGCGATGTGTGCACATGGATGCTAAGTGATCCGAGCACTCAGACAGTTCTGGCATCGATGGTATTTTGGGTGGGGCTTCTGCTGCAGGGCTGCAGTGGCCGATATGCATGCAAAATAAGAGCACTTAGGTTGCCTTACTTGTTTCTTGACTGGGATGGTTTTCTATGTGCAGGCCATCGCTACGGAGGCCATAGGAATAGAAAGCGAGTTGCATGAAGTGGCAGGAAGACGCTTGGCACGGAAGACGCTTCTTACTTGCATGTTCTCGCCGCAATGATGCTGGGTAATCCCTTTTCTTGTTGGGGATCATACTCTTGATGGACAACATTGTGTGCATTCGTGCACCACTTATTATAGAGTAATCCGAGGTTCAAGATTGTCCGGATCTTGTTTGGTGTCTCGCTCGGTGATGACTGAGTAAATCATTCACGAGGGGCCTATTTACTCGTCCAGGTGATACGTCATCTGAAGACAGCTCCGTTCATAGCGTCCTTGTTCCTAGTAGTAGGGCCAGGAACCCCTAGTAGCGCGTCCTTGCTAGTTGCGACGCCAGGAGCTCCTTGGTCAAGAGAGAATGAACAGAGATGCAGCACTGGTTTCCAGCACACGGCCGCTGTTTTCCATGAGTTTTTTCCAGAAGGTCGGTCGGACATGAAGTCGCGTTGCCACCGCCCAAAGCGCGGTGTTTTACGGGGGTGCCGATCACCGTGAAGCATCGCCTCAGGTGGTGACGGGTGGCAACAAGGGTGTGGGCTTTCATGTGGCTCAGCAGCTGCAGGCACCGAAGTTTGCCGTGATAGGTTGGGGCCATAGCTATAGAAACAAGAAGCTAGGAACAAGTGCATCGCTTCCAGTAACAAGTGCCTTACTAATTCTCTAGTAATAAGAAGCTATTAAAGAAACAAGAATTAGTAATAGTAGGTTGGAGGCCATCGCTAGTGTTTCCCTTTGGAGGGGCCATGTAAAGGATCCGTGAGGGGCCTTTCGCCGCAATGGCGGAAACACCGGAGCAAGTGGGCCTTCCGGACCCGTTTTAGAACGTTGTAGCTGATCGTTTCTACTAGGAACAAGTGCCTTACTAGTAGTAACAAGAAGCTAGTAGTAACAAGTGCATCGCTTCTAGGAACAAGTGCCTTACTAGTAGTAACAAGAAGCTAGTAGTAACAAGTGCCACGCTACTAGTAACAAGTGCATCGCTACTAGTAACAAGTGCCTTACTAGTAGTAACAAGAAGCTATTAGCTCATTGTTTCTATTTAATTCTTGTTTCTACTATCTTCTTGTTACTAGAAGCGATGCACTTGTTCCTAGTAGCTTCTTGTTATTATTGTTTCTAATATGTTTTCTTGTCCTTCTTGATTAACAATACACGGTGTGGTTGAAAGCACGTTGCTTTTTGTTTCAAAGTGTTCAAGAGTAGCTGACTAGCATAGGTGTGTGGGGGAATGATGTGGGCATCAATGTGCATCGAGGGTTTGCCATGACATGGAAGTTCAACAGATCACTAGGAACAAGAAGCTACGAGCAACAAGGGCATTTAAACTAGTTGCTAGAATGCTACTAGTAGCTACTGGCATCGCTACGACACTTCTAGCTACTAGTATATATCGCTTTCTAAGGTGTCAGTTTCCCAGTGAAACCAGCTTCATTGCTCATGGGCTGCATCCAGCAGGCCAGTGACTCTGTTGACGTCGTGCCGACAACGTGTGCTGTGTGCTTTACCTTTCCGCGTCCGTGCCATGCGAGGAGGCGGGGCTGCGGGTGGTGCTTGGCTGCCGAAATCGGACGCTGGCCGAAGAAGCTGCGGCCAGGCTCGGCTGCGAGTACGAAATCTTGGAGACTTGGTGAGTGCGATGGGTGGGTGCTACTAGGCGCACCTGGCCTTACTACTAGGAGCAAGGCCGCTACTAGGGGCTCCTGGCCTTACTAGGACGCTACTGGGGGCGCTCCTGGCCTCACCCTCCTCGGGGTGCTAACATCAGGACATTTGTTCAGCGTCGCGACCATAAAACCAAGGTGGGCAGTAGTTCTCGGATGGCAAGGGAGCACACTACTGTTTTGAATTGGAATGATGTTCTTCGAGCTTCGCAGCTGTGGTGCTGTACGTTGTACATCCAACGACTAAGCAAGTAGCGGGCCTCCCCAAGACTTCATATCTCAGGCAGGGGACTTGTGAGAATTGTGAGAAATGAACAACCAGTGGGCCAAAACACTATTCTAGATCGGCGTGAGATCCAGCTATGAGTTGGGTATTCAAACATCAGTTTGTGGCACTCATAGACTCATAGGTGAGTGATCATTTCCATGAAATCATTTCACACCTAGCTTGGGATACCTAATTGTGTGGGGTTTGGTCCCTGTTCATCGCTTGAAGTGTTTTCAAGAATGCTTTCTGCCAGCCTAAACCCTAATGTAAATAGACTGCTGTATTGACGAACCTGGTCGGCTGTAGGCCTTCAAACAGCCCCAGTAGAGATACTGCAAAAACAATATCGCACTGGATTTGAAGTGTCCCCTTGGTCGAAATTCCATTCGGAACACACAAAAACACGTCCTTCCTTCACTGTACACGCCATGGTCCGTTGGCAGACAGACCACGACAGGCCACAGTGTAGTGGCCACTACAGTCACTACAGGCCTCCGTATGCCTCCGTTGACCACTTCGACCTTTCCCGTTTGCCTCCGTTGACCACTGTGGCTTCCCAGCTTCCTGAGACCCTGGTGGCCAGCTCAGTAGGACGGACCGAAACCCAGTCACCGAGGATTTGGGATCTGAAGCGTCCATCGAAGCCTTTGCAAAGCAGATGGAGAAGAAATACAAACGTTTGGATGTGCTGGTGACTTGGTCGTTTGGGGCTTTGTTGGTTGAGCTGTTCGATGAGCTGTCGAGCTGTTTTCATTTTTCGTTTCATGTATCAACTGTCGACTCGTGACCTCTAAAGATGGTGGACTTTTGCCCATGTCTTGCCAGAACATCATTGGGATAACTTTTCCTCTCCCAAGACAATTGTTGTTCAAACGCATGTGTGTTTTCTCAAGTTGGGGGACCAACACCATCGACGGGAAGCTCGAGGTTGTCGCCACTGACTTTTTGGTCGTCATTGCATCGACTAGTAAGGCCAGGAGCCCCTGGTAGCGTTCTTGTTCCCAGTAGTAAGAATGCTACTAGTAGCGATGCCAGGAGCCACTAATAGCGTCCTTCCTCCTAGTAGCGATGCCCGAGTTTCTAGTAGCCTTCTTGTTCACATCCATTTTAGGGGAGCTGTTGTTCATCATTGGCTAAGGTCAACAACGCAGCCATTGCCTTCAAGGCTGGCAGCTTGAAAGGGGGATCTAAGTGGGGAGGCTATTGCAGTTTTAGTGATTCCACATCAAATTGTTTGCCGGTTGTTCCAAAGATTGGTGGACCTCGCACTCCGAACCTGTGCGACCGAAGAATCCTACAAAAGGCATTGAACCAGAACAAGCAAGCACTTGACTTTAAAAAGATGAAACATAATCCTACTGAACAGGCACGGTTTGAGGTGATTTGTGCACTGGAGAGACACAAATATATATATATATAAGTTGCAGTAAACGGGATTCCTGATCACGACAGCGTAAACAGATCCCACCAACTAACAACATCTCCCATTTGTGGATGACTAGCTGACTTGCTGACGTCGTTCTAGATTTGGTTGTGCTTACAACCAACAGAACTGGATAGTAAGAAGCAGTGCACCCTAAATGGACCAGCTGTTCCTCAAATGTCATGGTGCGAATTCGATCGAATTTCTGAGAAATAGCTGTTAATTGAGGTCTAAATAAAGGTCCAATAAGAAAGAACAGACTGAAGTAAGAGTCGACACCCACGCAAGCTTGACTAGTCGATGCAAATCCATGCACATCTCCGTCCTGTCACACCTGGATCCAGGCAGCAGATCCGACGCCTTTCAAAGAGCAAGCGTTGCCAACGTGTGCGACAGAGATGGGAGAGGAAAAGGCAACGACGTGGGGTAGAGATGGTACAGACTTCCTCGTCCGACCTATGAATGGACTTGGAATGGCCAAGACTTGATGCACAGCTTCACTAGGCATCCCAGAGTGAGTGTTTGGCTTGTGGAGAACATGGAGGTAGAAGCATCATGAACCCCACACTTGCTGGCAGTAGGCTTCGAATTCAATCACATCGTAAAACATCAAGCTCGCCTGACCATACCTGACCTGGAAATATTATTTGTCACAAAGAATGGGTCCAATGGTGGAGTCCTGTGCAAAGTAGTAGAGCTTGTGCAGAATTGTGGGACACGTTCGCAGTTGGTGGTGAAGCTGCTTGTGTTCGTTCGCAGACTGTTCAACATCGCTGGTATGAAAATAGAAAAGGTTGGAGAACGACATAACCATCCAATGAAGCTCCTTGTTTCTATAAATTTCAAGTGCCAAGCATCATTCGCGATAAGCCAAGAGCCCGCTGCAGCTTCATCTCCTTTGTTTGTCTTCTTGCTACCGGTCGCCAGCACCCACAAATATGGCGATAATGGAAAGGATGTGTCAGGTTTGGGGACCCTGCGGATCCAACTGAGGTTGAAAATCAATCTATTTGGCACGATGCGCCTTACGGACCGGCCCGTGGGAGGTTCCTCCACGCATGACAGGGTGCCTTCGGTGACCTACTGTCTCTCTGTTTTGTGCTTCGTGTTCATGTTCTCTCCTGCGCGACGACGATTTTCCCCTTGTTGGATAAGAACCAACATTGGCAACACCATTTCTTTTCTCAACAAAACCTCGGAGAAAACATCATACTTCTACTCTCTCTACTAGGTTGGAGGCCATTGCTCTTAGTTACGAGGCCATCGCTCTCTCTCTCTCTCTCCCCCTCTCCTTCCTGTTTTCTCGCGCCCTTCGCCAGGACCGTCTCTTGCCCTTGCTCCGCGCCACCGCGGCGCAGAGCTCTTCTCCTCCGCGGGTGGTGAACGTCGCTTCCATGGCCGGACGGCTGCGACAGCTGAGCCGCCTGGCACCGGTGGGTCACCGTCTTGGCTGGGTGACCAGACCAGACACCTGCATAGGGGCGATTCAACACTTGGCAAATTGAGAGGTACCCACAAAAGAAGAAATTGAGAGTCACGTTTTAGTTGTAATTTGCCAAACCGTGTGAAGTCCAAGGTGGGAAGGAGTTTGCACGCAGCGCCATACACACTGTGCTGTGTTGTGAGGCATGCTTGTCGTCCAAACCAAGCCACGTTTGTTGTCTTCGCTCGTTTTCGCGTGCCCGTTTGAAACATGTCGCAGCATTTCGGTCAGAATTTGCACACACCTTCTGCATCAGAGTGGCCCGCTTGCCTCTCTTGAAGTTAGGACATCGGCACCTCTGAGGTCCTGCACTCCAATCCGAATTTGCATCTGAGACACTGGATCGGCCACGGCCGGGGCACTGAGTTGACCGCTTTGGGGCAGAAGACCATGTGTTCAAATTGCTTTGTCCTCCCCTCAAGCACCCTGGACCAATGCAACAGTTCATTTGGGAATGGGTTGAGAACCTGGAGCCCTGGTCAAGCTAGCAGCTAGCTTGACCGTCACGTCGGTATGACCTACCAAGACCTATCCCAGTTGTGGCGGCGGCCGGTCTTGGCAACACTGGCTTCTGCAGTTTGAAGCCGAATCAGTCCCAGTTGCTTTACCTAGTCTCGATTCTCTCCACTCGATGCACTGATGCTGACATCTGCCGCCAAGAGGCCAAGAGTTTAACCCACAGTCATTGGGACATTTTGTTCAGTTTTGGACAGTGGGCGTACTTCCCTGGACCCGCCAAGGCTGTTGCGCCTAGTTTTCTCCTTCGTGTCAGCGGTGCAGTCGGGCCGACATCGCGAGATGGGTGGCTGGACCCAAGATGTGCGCGTTCCGCGCTTCGCGACGAGATGAGTTCGGGTTTTGCCGAACCTGACGTGTGAGTTGAGTGACGTGAACCACACATGACCCTTCCACCGACACGGAACCGTTTGCGAGCGACTATGCGCTGACAAGGTTGGAGCGACTCGAACTATGGATTGTGGGCACCTGAGAGGAAGCTCCAGAAGAGAGGAGCTAGAAGAGCTGTTCGATCATGTCTGATTCGAAACGATTAAACAACAAGCTACTAGGAACAAGTGCATTGCTACTAGGAGCAAGGGCCTTACTAGTAGTAACAAGAAGCTATTAGGAACAAGAAATGAATGTTCTTCGATCTCAGTGCCTGAGACCAGCCTCGAGGTCCAAGTTGGCGCTTATTGCATACACCCGCCTGCTGGCGCGCGAAGAGCCGCAGCTACAGGTGAACGCTTGCTGCCCCGGTTACTGCTGTACCGACATGTGGCTTGGAAGAAGGTGATCGATTACGGTTCGGCAGGCGAAGCTCAAACCGGCTGAACCGCTCTGATAGGTTGCAATCAAGAGCCAAGCTAGTTTGACATGGCATGTCTTGGAGGCAATTCGGGGCGGACCTAGTTTCATGACACTTGCATGTTCATGGTAAAATGCTTGCGGCTTCATGAGTTGTTGTGAAGACTCCAGGGATTTGGCTTTGCGAGGACGTTTCTCCGAAGCGTTGACGAAGTGGAGTATAGAAACATTTTTCGATGTCCTTGTTACTAGTAGCGATGCCCTTGTCAATGCATTCCATCCCCACCACACCTGTGCCATCCGCTGCCTGAACTTCCTCGTCGCCTGAAGCAGAAGTACGATTTTACGACTGATGACTCTGGTGAGGTTTGAGACTCCAAAGCTTTCACCAGTCACTCACCAAACGCATTCGACTCTCTCACCCAGAGTCAGAGTGCCACAGGTTTCAAGTTTGCGTGCATCGACCAAGTTCTTTCTATCGAATCGGCAGACCGTGCCCGAAACGCCGTCATCGGTGCTTCCGTTCCTGGGCGATCGAAAACACATCGCTCCGGTCATCGGTGCTACGAACGGAGCGATCGGACGCTACGAACGGGGCTCCTGGCCTTACTAAGAACGGAACAAGAAGCTACTAGTAACAAGTGCATCGCTTCTAGTAACAAGTGCCTTACTAGTAGTAATAAGGACGCTAGTAGTAACAAGGACGCTAGTAGTAACAAGGACGCTAGTAGTAACTGAACGTAGCAAAGGGCATTCCTACTATATAGTAGCAAGAAGCTACGAACGGGGCTCCTGGCATCGCTACGCACGGAGCGATCGGACGCCACCCAAACAGAGCCCTCGAATCGCGTCGACCGAGGTCCTCGAATCGCGGTGGCCAAGACCCTGCCGTGGGCGCCCGCACCGTGCTCGCAGCGGAGCGGAGCGGACGCAGCGGAGAGTTCTTTGAGAATGAGCGGATCTCGGAGTGGTGAAAAAAGGAAGCGATGCCCTTTGCTACTAGTAACAGGTGCATCGCTAGTAGTAACAAGTGCCTTACTAGTAGGAACAAGAAGCTATTAGAATTATTCTAGTAAGGCACTACTAGCGATGCACCTGTTACTAGAAGCTTATTGATTCTAATAGCTTCTTGTTACTACTAGTAAGGCACTTGTTACTAGAAGCGATGCACTTGTTCCTAGTAGCTTCTTGTTACTATTAAGGCACTTGTTACTAGAAGCGATGCACTTGTTACTACTAGCTTCTTGTTACTAGTGAAAAAAGGACAGATGAAAACAGATGAAAAAGAAGGCGACCATGTGAAGGATCTGAAAGTGAAGGACTGGACATGACTGGACCCAGCGATGTGACACCTGGGTGTTTACATGGGGATACTTTGGTGCAGTAGTAAAATCCTCCAGAATGATATACTGGAGCTCGAGAATCCCAGTGAATGGGTAGTTCACCGACACACATGACTTGGCTGTTGGGAGTTCGCACAGCCGGGTCCAATGAACTCAGCGTGAATCGATTGGGTTGTTCACATGGACGCAGCCGGCACTTGTCATCCCAATTGGTTGGATGCCATAATTGGTTACTTTTGGGGGTACGTCCTTTTGGGGTGGAAGGGGACTCTGAGTGGTCGTTGGCTGGTGGACAGTGGACGAAACATCGAGTTGGTGTGGTGGGTCAGACCGTGTGCAATCGAGTAAGCCGAGTGAGTAGGAAACCTAGATGTAAAGCTTTTTTGGGGGCTAAGGCTTAGGAAGGCCTTGGTTTTGTACAGACGCACAGGGATGTCAGAACAACTGTGTTTTTTGCTGGTGCTTTGCTATCCCAGAGAGAGTGCAAATTGACCCATGTTTACCGGGGATTATGACTCTTGGAGGCCATTGCGACAAGTAGGTTGGTCGGTTGGAGGGCCATGGCGTTGACCCACCGCGTTGCGCTCCCCACCGCAGATGGCGCCCAACGAGGGCTCGGACGCACTCCAGGGCTCGGCCAAGGGCTCAGATGGACCGAACACATGCTGAGCTGGAGTAACAAGAAGCTAGTAGTAACAAGTGCCTTACTAGTAGTAACAAGAAGCTACTAATTTAATTCTAATAGCTTCTTGTTACTACTAGTAAGGCACTTGTTACTACTAGCGATGCACTTGTTACTACTAGCTTCTTGTTACTACTAGCTGGGGAGGTCGAACCAGTAGTTCGATGCCCGCGATTTCGGTGTTGGCTACTAGGGCCACTAGGGGCTCCTGGCATCGCTACTAGGAACAAGGACGCATGGAAGTTGGGCTGCCAGCCTTGAGCTTTAGGCCTTTCTGTCGACAGCGTTGCCCGCGTCGAGGCGACAGAACGACGACTCGGTGACGAACGGAGCGCTACCGAGGTCGAAGCGTTTCTGGAGGGAAGAGGTGTCGAAAGAAGTGTCATGCAGCATACCCATGGATACCCTCCTTCTAGTCCTGTCTTTATCCTATATAGTAGTGGATGTGTTGTGACTTTCCCAAGGCAGCTCTCAGCTGCCAGAAACAGATATGATGATCGTTCAAAAGATATGATTACCCTGGATGCACAAAGAAAGATGACTGAGATGATGGAGATGATGTAGGCCCCATTATGCCCCTTTCAATAGAATCAATGTATAAAAGTAACTCGCATTCAATCGCACTTGTTTCCGGGTCCTCCTTCATTTGCAGCATGTCTGAACACCGGAGGGTCCCGTGGTCTCGAGTAACGTGATTCTTCGACGAACGGTTGACAAGATCCAGGTTCGATATTTGTCGAAGAAACCCTATGGATTTGGGTGTTCTTGAAGTTGCCAAGTCGGGCGCACTAGCTGCCACACCCTTTGCCATGGTTTTGAAGGTTAACTTAAAGGGCGAGCTTGGACGCACTACTGGACGCACACGGGTTCCGCATACCTCGCACGGGTTCCGCGAGGGTCAGGGTCAGATGGTAACAGGTATTCGAGGGCAAGCGCCCCAGCCAACCCAAAAGTGTAGCCACGTGTTCTCCAGCCCCTGGAAGCTTTTTGGTTGTGAGCACCGCTGCCCCACGAAGCAAGCTGATGGCTTTTGAGAGGACAACACGCGCCTCTGTTTGTAGGTAGTTTGAGGTGCCTTCAGCAAACACCAGAAAGAGAGATCGAATCCACTTTTCTTTATGTCAGGCTGTGTGGGGTCTGTTTCCCCTGGTTTGAGACGGTCATTCTTCCGGCGTTGGCCCCTCATCAAGTCGGCCTCAGCGCTGCACCTTGAGGTTCCCAGCGTCAAGCACACACCTACTTCAATGCCTAGCCTAGCCTATCAGGTGCATGTGTATTCTTCTGTTGGTCTCGCTGTTGTTGCCCACCTCCATTCCCTCTTACTTGGGCAGGGGTTTTGAGGCAGGTTGGAGGCTTGTGCTTCCCTTTTACTTGAGTAGCCTCCGGTATCCTGCAAAGGTTTGATGGCTGTAGTCGAGGGAAAACCTGCAATGCCGGAGATCAAATCGAGTCCTGGAGATGTATAGAAACTGCTATGTAGTTAAGAAGGGGGCCGTTGACTCTTGGACACACTGTGCTTGGACGATATGGTGAACCGCCGGCCACCGGCGAATGTTTACACCTTTCACAAAATGGACTTTGGTGACAGGACTGGAATGCAGATAGATTCAGACAATGAGGTTTGTGGATTAGGCGGCTAGGAAAGAAGAACGTATTCGCGCCGAAGAAGAAGAGGCAAACTCCGCAGCTCAGAGCCACAACTCGTGACATGTGCGGAACCGAAATTCAGATCAGCGTGTGTTAGTTGCGTTTAACTAGGCTGTTGCCAGCGCCTCTCACCGGTCAATGGCTGACAACACCGCGTTTCACTGTCGGCGGCTTGCCAGGGAAGCTGCTGTCTCTCCAATGCCCCCCTCCTCTTGAACGGACTAGCGGCCACGAATTTGTTTCGCTAATTGAGGCGCCCACAAAAGCCAAAAGGCGCAGCGGGCGACGGTATTCTAAAGTTGCGTGGCCAAAGTTCAAGGGCCGGGCAAGAATTAGAGGTTCCATTTGTGTTGTAAGCAAAGAATGTTCGAGTGATTGAACGGAGTTGTCCAGGTCCAGTTGCAAAGCAACGTTCCAAAGATCACGTTTGCTAAACTCCATCCTCAAGCCGTCATTTGTCCAAGAACTTTCTTAGCCGACATTCATTCACGCGGAGTTGTAGGGCTTGGGCGACTCAAAGTGAAGCCTGGTCGACATGTTTCTACATGTTGCTATTTTCCTCTTCTTTCTGGATTTGAACCGACATGAACCGACCATGCATAAGTCGACCGTGCCTCCAGTGGTGCGACTCATGAACCCAAAGCGCAGGCAATAGTACCATGATGTACCATGCAGTTTTGATCCTGTTCTGCCAGTCCTGGCAGTGCACCGCAAAACCACTCGCGAATCGGTTACATTCTACGAATGTTCAGCTCCAAATCTGATCCGCTTTCCGGATGTCTCCTGCGGTTGTTTCAGGATCTCTTGATGTCGTTGGGATTGTGGGTGCGAACTTAGCAGATCTTCTTACTGAACCAAGAACCAAAGGATCGCAAGTCTGGGTTGAGTGGCAAGTGTTGTCAAAAAAATGGTCAAATTGGAAATTGGTTTGAAACACTCGGCGTCATGCGTTAATGGGCTAATCCAGGCCTTCACCATGATTCAATTTGGACAAGGTACCCAAAACCTATTGTCTCTCAGGGGGTTGTACAGGTTGTAGTGACCATGACAATCTCTGATAAAACCATCGTTTTGGTCAAGGTTTGTTCTTTTCTAGGTGGTTTCTCAAAAAGTAGTCAACATCCACACATCCAAACGACCAAAACTAAGTAGTACGGACAAAGATGTATGTGGTCAGCACTTGGTGTGACTACCGAAACGAGGACTCACTTCATGTAAGTTCCTGCAGAGCACCCAAGCGAAGGATGTCGAGGTGGTATACGAGCTGATTTGTTCGCGAGCAAATCAGTGGATGGATCGGAATATGAGCTCCAAGTTGGAAGTGTTTAATCAGGAATTTGCGTTTTGATCAGGGAACCCATGGTTTGGGGTGTTTTTGATCAGGGGCCGGCTGGAGCCCATGGTTTTTGGTTTTTGAGCCGTTTTGGGAAAAGGCCTTTCTAGAGCATGAGCTGGGCAAATTGAGCATGAGTTGTGCAGGAAAAAGAAAAAGAAAACCAAGATGGCCGAAGATCCAACTGCGGAAATCGTGGAGGACACGCAGTGGCGACGTGCGATTACACGGACCCAACGTGCACCTGCCTGACGCGCGTGCGCAAGCTGCCTGTCGTTTGATGTTTGATGAGTTTGACCTGGATGGGCGGACAGTACTTGGGGAAGGTTGAGAAGGCGGATTCAAAACCCGAGGTAGTAGCATGTTCCATATTCAGAATCAAAACCCGAGGTCCGATTTGCGGTCACACGTACGGAGACATACATCCACTAAACAGTTTTTTGTTTCGGTGTGTTGTTCATCTGGGTTGTGCGAGTTAATGCGATTTAACTTGCAGAGACTTGGATATGTGTGCGGGTTGTCATTGCTTTACGTTGCTCAAATTCGACCTCGTTGCCGAATGTGCTACCTGAATGTCGAATGCGTTGAAGGGCCGCATTGATGCGTGGCAGTGAAAGTTACCCACGTGAATACCGTTGGGTTGCGAACTTCCGTCGCAGGATCAGGCCGACATCTTGGCTGCACTCAATATGGACACTGCAGAGGCAGGATGCTCAAGCACAAATATCATGGCAGATTGCTGAAGGGACTGGTAGAACTCTTCCAGGATATTGTTCTCGTTACGCTGTGCCAGCTCACGGATATCCTTTTTCCACCTCCACTGGCCAATTTCCACTGACGTACCTTCACTAATAAGGTGCCAGAACGACCATCACCAGTCATACCTAATACACAGTTAACGTCAACGCCATAATACTATACAATGTCAACACATGATACATACGCCTAGCGAGACCTTGGTCAACGTGGGCCCAACTTGTTGACTAG